TCCTCCTCCTCCTCCTCCTCCTCCTCCTTTTCCTTCTCCTCCTCCTCTTCCTCCTCCTCCTTCTCCTTTTCCTCCTCCTTTTCCTCCTCCTCCTCTTCCTCCTCCTCCTCCTCCTCCTCTTTTTCCTCCTCCTCCTCCCCCACCCAGAATAAGCAAAACACTGCTACTTATTCTGGTGTTTAGACTTTTATCTGTAGCCAAAAAAAGCCTGATGCTTTTTTTCCCCGTCATTTATTTTCTTGTTGTTTCTAGTTGCCCGTTTCCCCCCCGCAGCCTTTTTCCTTTCTTTTCAACTCCCTTTTTTCCCCCCCTCTCCGCTCGCTTGTCTTTTATACGTACATATTTGCAATGCGATAACTTTTTGTAAGAGGGGAAAAGAATTCCCCCGTGGGGGCTGCCAGCCACCCAGTCGGTCAGAAGCGGGCTTTTTTTGAACGCCTGGCTCAGGCTGGATGCGAGGCCCTCCCCCCCACCCCCCGTGTCCTCCTCCCTCCCCCTGCAGGGCCTGTCCTTGGTGCTTTCTGAGGGGGCCCTCCCCGAGAAGGAGGAGAAGGAGCACCCGATGGAAGAAGACCCCTGGGACTTCAAGCTGCTTCAAAGCTACCAGTGGCTTCTGCGAGACCTGCCCAAGCTGCCCTTGTTCGACAGCGTCCGGACCACCACGGCGGTGGCTCTGCAGCAGGTGAACGGCGTGGCGCGGCCCTGGAAGGCTCTCCCGACCCAGGACCCAGGCGGCGTAACGTTGCGTTCCCTTTGCTTCCCGTTCCAGGCCGTCCACATGGAGACAGACCCCCAGACCATCAGTGCTTACTTGGTGTACCTTTCTCAGCATGCCCCCGTGGAGGAACAAGGCCAGCATAACAACTTGGCTTTGGTGAGAGAAATCTACCGGCTGGGCGCGGGAGGAGAAGGCGAAGGTCCACGAGACCCCTCCTCGTTTAGCAACCAAAGCAAAGTCTGCCTCCCTGCAGGTCGCAAAGCATTCCTCTCGGGGCTCCAAAATTGGTTGATTCTTAAAATCCACACACACACACACCCCTCTTTATTCATTTTAATCAATAACTCAAGGTGGCAGACACACTTAATCCTCCTTCCTCCTCCTGTTTTCCCCAAAGCAACAACCCTGTGAGGTGGGTCGGGCTGAGAGAGAGGGATTTGCCCAAAATCGGCCAGCTGGTTTTCATGCCTTAAGACAGGACTAGAACTCACAGTCTCCTCATGATTGGCCCAAAGTCACCCAGTCGGTTTTCGTTCCTAAGGCAGGACTAGAATTCACCTTCTCCTCATGATTGGCCCAAAGTCACCTCGCTGGTTTTCATGCCTAAGGCAGAACTAGAACTCACCGTCTCCTAGTGATTGGCCCGAAGTCACCCAGTCAGTTTTCATGCCTTAAGACAGGACTAGAACTCACCGTCTCCTAGTGATTGGCCCAAAGTCACTCAGTCGGTTTTCATGCCTTAAGACAGGACTAGAACTCACCATCTCCTGGTTATTAACCCAAAGTCACCTAGCTGGCTTTTATGTGTAA